CAAAAACGTCATTCATGATTTCAGCAAAATACGTACACAACTCTTATTGACATTTACAGAAATCGGTTTCCTTACCTGTAGTTCTCGGAAATCTTTACAGAAAGTGATTTTCTCATCTGTAGTCATCGGTAACCTTTAAAATAAATCGGTTCCATCAGAATGTCATGAAAAATGTACTTGTATGGTACGAACAAACAAATAATCTTTCTAACTGAAGACGGAACTGTATGCTTGGAAGTGGATTTTTTTGTTTTATCTATTCGGTAAGCCTAAAGTGATTTATTTTCACTTTATTTTGTGATATAGTGTTAGTTATCCATTAAAATTTATTGATTTTGATTTTGTTACACTTTCGCTATTTTGTGAATTTATTTAACAAATATTGAAACAACGTATTCCTATCGGACTGCACAAAATTACTTGACAATAAATTAGATTTTTCCTTCATGCCAGCTTTGGGTTATGCCATCCGTTATCAAAATTATCAAACCAATTTTAAATAAAAATCATTTATTTTTTCATAATTAAATCATTATTAATAAGGTCTAATATTTTGAATAAAAACATGTTTTTCCATAACAAATATGCTACTCATAATAAACTCTATAATTATTTTTAGCAGGTTTAATTAATTAAAATATTTAATTCTAATTATACTTATTTTTTCTAAAACACTTTCGGGGTGGCCTGGATTTTTCTAAAACATTTTTTTTTCACTATTGATCTTTAACTTTATAGTTATGGTTCTTAGAAAACTATTTTTGGATTTAATATCTCAAAAGAACAGAAAGTCTTCGGAAAAATTTCCTAGAGATGAAAATTCGCATCAATTTCTTTTTTTTTTTAAACCCATTTCCATTGTTAAAAAGAGAGAAGAGATAATTGCCTTTATTTTTCCTGCTCCTTTTTTTAAGCCATGGGTTTCTCTACTCCAGATGGATGATTAATTGCCCCCTCAAAGCAACAATAGAGAAATAAAATAAAGAGTGTAAGTAAATTATTTCTGTCTTGACAACAATGGCTGCCTGCGCGAAACCACCATGCTCTTTCAGCAAACCAGTCCTCACTGTATTGATTATATCTGGGTATATTTTTTGTGCTAAAGTTAATTAATAGAATATATATATTTTTTTATAGTAAATAGACCTTCATTTCTCCTCTTCTTCGGAAAGATTAGAATTCGAATACAATAAATGTTAAAGTAAAAAATTCTAAATTTAAACTATTTAAAACAATGCCCATTTAATTACGTAAGAGTGTACATAGACAGACAAACGTGATCATAGCCAACATATACCTTTATTTTTGCTACAAATATCCCATAATACAAATCCAATCCATTCTAAAACTGTAAAATCAAATTATTTATGAGTGAGAGTCGTCGATGACATATCTGGCAGGTTGGTGTTTTGGTATTTGATATTTTCAACTAGAAAGCAGTACACGACATTTGTGTGGCTACTCTTAATCGAATAGAAGACATAGCAGACATAAATATCACACTTATAACGCCCCACAACTAGAAATAAGGAGAGTTTTCGGCGGAATATCGTCACTTAAACCCCGAACCGTCGTTCCGCAGCCCGGAAGGAGGCCTCACCCCGCCCATACAAAAAAATATAAATATAGGTAAGGTAAAATATATGTACACTTGTAATAGTTTATCACCACTTTTTTTGATGAGCTTACTTCATATCTAGAAATATATATGGAAACACAAGAATTTATACACAAACATACAGTCTCAACTCCTACCACGACTTTGTATCACTTGCTTGTAAGCAGTCGCACGGATATATATAATACAAGGATGTGCAAGTAAGCTGCTTAATTTATACACAAACATATAGTCTCAACTCCTACCACGACTTTGTATCACTTGCTTGTAAGCAGTCGCACGGATATATATATATATATATAATACAAGGATGTGCAAGTAAGCTGCTTAATTTATACACAAACATACAGTCTCAACTCCTACCACGACTTTGTATCACTTGCTTGTAAGCAGTCGCACGGATATATATATATATATAATACAAGGATGTGCAAGTAAGCTGCTTAATTTATACACAAACATATGGTCTCAACTCCTACCACGACTTTGTATCACTTGCTTGTAAGCAGTCGCACGGATATATATATATATATAATACAAGGATGTGCAAGTAAGCTGCTTAATTTATACACAAACATATGGTCTCAACTCCTACCACGACTTTGTATCACTTGCTTGTAAGCAGTCGCAC